GCTGCATTTGTCACGTGCTCTTGTCTCTCCGTCCAGCCCCAGGCTTGCACGCACATACAAGGTGGGTGCCAGAGGTAGAACTTTCTCCAGGGTTTTGTCCCAGGGTAAAGACTGTCTTGAGAAAATTGACTTTAGGTAGAGAAAGATTACCTTCTCTCTCAGACAGGGTCTTGCTCTTTCTGAGGCTGGATTGCAGTGGCGCGATCGTAATCCCCTGCATACTGCATCCTTGAACTCCTGGGCTCAAGTGATCCTCCTGCCTCAGCCTCCTGAGTAGCTGAGACCACACCCGACTAATTTTATTTTATTTTTTATAGAGACATGGTTTCCCTATGTTGTCCAGGCTCTTCTTGAACTTCTGGGTTCCCATTATCCTCCTGCCTCCGCCTCCCAAAGTGCTGGGATTACGGGCATGAGCCAAGCCTGTTCAAGATTACCTTTTGATATCCAGTCCCCAGGAGAACAAAGCCAAGTGCAGAGGCTTTAAGAGGGGCCAGGGAAACTGAGATTGGAATGTTAGGAATATATATTTTCTCTAGGCCAGTTGCCTTGTGGTTGGGTAAGTAAGCCTTGTCCCAAGTCAGAGTCATTCTTTTGCAGGGCAAGTTAGCATTCATTTTTTTTTTTTTTTTTAAAGTTTAAACTACATTTAGCCACAGTAAAATACACATAACATACAATTTGTCTTTTTTTTTTTTTTTTTTGAGATGAAGTTTTGCTCTTTCTTCAAAGAAGAAAGAGGCTGGAGTGAAGTGGTGGGATCTCGGCTCTGCCCCCCGGTTCAAGCAATTCTCCTGCTTCAGCCTCCCGAGTAGGTGGCACTCGCCACCACGCCTGGCTAATTTTTGTATTTTTAGTAGAGATGGGGTTTCACCATGTTGGCCAGGCTGGTCTTGAACTCCTGACCTCAGGTGATCCACCTGCTTCAGCCTTCCAAAGTGCTGGGATTGCAGGCGTGAGCCACTGCAGCCGGCCCAATTTGCCATTTTAACAGTTCTCAAGTGTATAGTTGTTCAGTAGTGTTAAGTATGTTTCTATTGTCATGCAGCCAATCTCCAGCACTTTTTTATCTTGCAGAACGGAAACTCCATGCCCACAGAACAACAGCTGCCCATTTATTTCCCCCAGCCCCAGCCCTGGCATCCACCCTTCTGTCTTTATGTCTCTATGCATGCCTAATGTAAGTGGAATCACAGGGTGTTCATCATTTTGTGACTGGCTTATTTCATTTAGCAAAATGTCCTCAAGTTCCTTCTGTGTTGTGGCATGTGTTTTTCCTTTTTTTTTTCTTTCATTTTTGTGTCTTTCCTTTTTAAGGCTGATTTAGTGTTCATTCTTAAAAACTGAAGACTCTGAACATAGACAGCTGTTCTTTGCATTCACACCTTAAGGCAACCCCCTACATTATGCCAAATGTGACATTTGTTTCCCCTTCACCCTTCTAATCAACTAAACTTAAGTATTATTATTATTAATTATTATTATTTACTGGCTCCATCCACTCATGGAAATTTAAGTATTATTGCTTTACATTTTTATGGCAGGAGTTGGTTGTCAAAGTATGTTCATCAATGTTTTTTTATTTTATTTTATTATTTTGTTGAGACGCGATTTTGCTCTTGTTACTCAGGCTAGAGTGCAATAGCATGATCTCAGCTCACTGCAACCTCCACCTCCTGGGTTCAAGCGATTCTCCTGCCTCAGCCTCCCGAGTAGCTGGGATTACAGGGGTGCGTCACTATGCCTGTCTAATTTTGTATTTTTAGTGGAGACAGGGTTTCTCCATGTTAGGCTGGTCTCAAACTCCCAACCGCAGGTGATCCCCCCACCTCGGCCTCCCAAAGTGCTGGGATTATAGTTGTGAGCCACTGCATCCAGGCACAAACATTTATTTTTAATAATAGCAGTACGGAGCTGTAATTCACCCATTTAAAGTGTACAATTCAGTGATTTTAGTATATTCACAAGGTTGTGCATCCATCACCACAATCAGTTTGGATCCTCATCCCAAACCTTGGATCCACTAGCTACCACTTTTCACTCCTTCCTCCCGTAGCCCTGGGCAACCACAAATCTACTTCCTGTCTCTATGAATATGTGTATCCCGGACATTTCATAAATGGAATCATACAGTACGTAAAGCTTTGTGACTGGCTTCTTCCACTTAGCAAATGTCCACATTCATCCATGTAGCATGTATCAGCATTTCATTCCTTATTGTGGCCAAATAGCTCTGTCGTATGGATATGCCACATTTTATCTGTTCCATTTAGCTGTTGTCAATAACACTGCTATAATTGTTGGTGTACAAGGTTTTTTCGTGGACATGTTTTAATTTCTGTTGGGTACATATGTAGGAGTGGAACTGCTTTTACATACTTTCATTTTAAAAAAGACTTTTTTTTAGACAAATTTTACATTTACAGAAAAATTGTGAAGATAGTATAGAGAGTTTTCACATGTCACCTTACCAAGTTTCCCCTCTTATTAACATCTTACCTTAGTAGGATACATTTTTAACAATTAACAAACCAATACATTATTATTTATTAACATTGTTTATTAATAATTAATATTAAGAATATTGGGTATCAATGACCAACACATTATTTAACAACATTCATATTTTATTCAGATTTCCTTAGTTTTTACCTAATCTCTTATTTTTGTCCCAAGATCCCATCCAGGATACCAAGTTGCAATAGTCATTTCTCTTTTGACTCATCCAGACTGTGACAGTTACTCAGACTTTCCCTGTTTTTGATGACCTTAACGGTTTTGAGGAGCACGGGTCATGTAGTTTGTGGAATGTCCCTCTGTTAGGACTTGTCTGATGTTCTTTTCACGATGAGACTGGTGCAATGGGTTTCGGGAAGGAAGACCACAGGAGTAAAGCATCATTTTCACTTTGTCCTATATCAAGGGTGCATAATCTCAGTGTGAGTTACCACTGCCGATGTTGACCTTGAACACCTGGCTGAGGTAGTGTTTGTCAGTCTTCTCCACTGCGTGGTGATGCCAACTTTCTCCTCTTTCACACTGTGCTTTGTGGAAGGAGGCCACTTTCCACAGCCCACACTGAAGTGTGGGTGATGCTCTACCTCCCTAAGGGGGAATACCTGCACAAAGTATTTGGTATTTTTCTGTAAGGAAGATCTGGCTTCTTCTTCATTTATTTATTCAGACATTGAGTTGTGCCCTACTCATGCTATGATCCAGTATTGCTGTATTAATTCTGTGGCTCAAGTTCCAGCTTTGGCCTTGGGAACTCCCATAGTGGGCCCTTGTCCCTGTGACATGCCCCATCGATGGATTGTTTCCTTAACACTTTTTTTCTTTTTGGTGCTACAAACTGACCCAGGCTCATCTAGAATATTTTCTGGGTCTGTCTTCAAATTAGCCATTTCTCCAAGGAGTCCTGCTTCCTGTGATTGGAGAATGCTGTAGAAACCAAGATTTGGGCTCTAGATGTGTTCTGTACATTTGTTTTTCACTCTGATCATCCCCATGTGAACTCTTTATGACTTTTTTTCTCTTTTCATTTTCCAGTAAGTCTGAAACAGCCACTGGAGTGTAGTGGTTAAGAGGAAGGACTCAGGAATCAGATTGCTTGGCTTCATCTCACAGATCCATCCCTTCTCCCCTTATGGACTTAATTCCTCCATGCCTCAGTTTATCATTTATAGTCCATGTAGGCTTAATTCCTCCATGCCTCAGTTTCCCTACATATAAAATGGAAATACTAACAGCACCTACCTTGTAGGGTTGTTGTAAAGCTTAACAGATGTAAGACCTGTGATATGTTTAATGGTGCCTGGTACCCAATCCATACTCAAATGTGGGTGGCAGTGGCAGTAATTATTGGGGAGGACAAGGCAGATGGTCTTTTTTGTTCTTTTAAGTCAATTAAGTGACCTGCTTAAGACATGGTCAAGTGGAAGTTCACCCAAGGGGTCTTGTGTCTCCATGGTACCCTGCTACCTCCTGACCGTAATATTTTGTTTCAGCGTGTGAGTCTGTGATAAATACCTGAGATGCTGTGGAGCTCCGTGTGGAGTATGAATGCCAGCACCAGAGTTGAGGACTCAGGAGCTCTTGGGTGGAAACAGTTAACATTTAAAATAAATTGGCTGGGCACGGTGGCTCATGCCTGTAATCCCAGCACTTTGGGAGGCCGAGGTGGGAGGATCACAAAGTCAGGAGTTCAAGATCAGCCTGACCAATATGGTGAAACCCCGTCTCTCCAAAAAGTACAAAAATTAGCCAGGCATGGTGGTGCACGCCTGTAATCCCACCTACTCGGGAGGCTGAGGCAGGAGAATCACTTGAACCTGGGAGGCACAGAGGTTGCCGTGAGCCAAGATCACACTGCTGCACTCCAGCCTAGGTGACAGAGCGAGACTCCATCTCAAAAAAAAAAAAAAAAAAAGACATTTAAAATAAATAATATTATCAAAATGTGTACTTTAAAAAATTGACACATAATAGTCCTACATACTTATGGGGTACCTGTGATATTTTGTCACACGCATAGAACGCGTAATGATCAAGTCAGGGTATTTAGCACACCCATCACCTTTAACATTTATCATTTCTTTGTGTTGGGAACATTTCAAATCTTCTAGCTGTTTTGAAATATACAATACATTGCTGTTAACTCTAGTTACCCCACAGTGCTATCAAACTCTAGAACTTACTTTTTCTATTAACTGTGTGTTTGCACCCGTTCCCCAACCCTTCTTCCCCCTCTCTCACTCCCATCCAGCCCTGGTTAACCATCATTCTATTCTCCCCCTCCATGAGATAAACTTTTTAGGTTTCACATGAGTGAAAACGTGGTATTTATCTTTCCGTGCCTGGCTAAAATGTGTACTTTTAAGATATTTATTATTTTAAGAATAGGATACTATGTAATTAAAAAAAAAAACTCACTCTGGGTTAGGAATGAAAAGCCATTCAATATTAAATTAACTTGAATGCTTTCTTTTATCTCCCTTTAGTGGACTCATTGGGCGAAGCTGGGCCATGCTGTTTGCCAGTGGAGGCTTCGAAGTGAAACTCTATGACATTGAGCAACAGCAGATAAGGAACGCCCTGGAAAACATCAGGTGGGCCAGCCGGCGCGCTCTAGGAAGAATGGAAATGGGTCTGTCTCTCTCAGTTGGGCTTGTTTGTCATATCCTCAAGGCTGTACGTATCTGTGATGTCACTTTTTCATCTGATGGCTACTTTAGTGCCTCTGAGTTGGTAAAGGCCAGGCCAACAGTGGCTGGAATGTGAATTCATACTGGGGAAGGGCTCCCATGGGGAGGAAAGGACCCTTCTGGCTGAGGGGATCTCCATCAAGCATGAGTGACTTTGCAGGCTTCTCCGGCTGTGTGCCCAGGGCTGGAGGGCTGGGGTTTCCTGCTTGTATCTGGGCATGAGGAACTCGCTTCCAGCATGTAACAGCCAGAGCTGCAGGGGCATTACAGTTTAGGAACCGAGGTCCCGCAGCTTGTTTTGACCTGTCGATCTAGTAATGGTGGGGCCCAAATGAAAACCTGCTGAACTTTAGTGAGAGGTTTGGCACCCATGTGAGAGGACAGACCTGTCCTGTTTATGTGGGTGTCGTTAACTGTGACAGCGGTACTAGTTAAAGGTGTGAGAGTGGATGAACTCACCAAATGCTGAGTGCCAAGAATGTGGAGGGCTGTTTTAGGGATGATAGTCACAGGAATCAAAGAAATGCTGAGAATGAGGGAGCTCAAGGACAGGGAAAAGAAGCCGTTGCGGCGTGCCCAGAGGCAGAGGCACTGGCGTGGAGCACCCTCGCCGCACAGTGCGGCCCCCTGCGGCGCTGTCACATAACACGATTCTGACCATCTCAGATATGCTTTCTGTTTAGCTGGTTATTATCCTTATTTGGAAGATGTCTGTGAATATATAACTTGGATTTGCATTTTGGTGCAACAAAAATATGCTTCCTTTATTGTTTACATTTTGAAAAGACTAATATGTAGGGTATGATGCTGAACTATAGGCATTAAGAAATTATATACCCTAATCCAGTGCTGGTTTTACAGATTAAGAATCTGAACATGGAGAAGTTAAGTTACTTCTTCCATATTGTTACAAATGGCCAACGCCAGGGTAAAATGTCAATCTAAAAAACAAAAACCTTGGCCAGGCGTGGTAGCTTACATCTATAATCCCAGCACTTTGGGAGGCTGAGGTGGGAGGATCACTCGAGGCCAGGAGTTTAAGACCGGTATGGGCAACAAGATTCTATGGGCATTCTGGAATATATTCTGGATACATTCTTTAGATCTTTCTTCCAGTTCATCTACAGAAAAAAAGAAAAAATTAGCCAGGGTGTTGGCGCTCATCTGTAGTCCTAGCTACTCAGGAGGCTGAGGCAGAAGGATTGCTTGAGTCCAGCAGTTCCAGGCTGCAGTGAGCTGTGATTGCAGCACTGCACTCCAGCCTGGGCAGCAGAGTGAGACTTTGCCTCAACATAAAGAAAATAATAAAATACAAAACCAACCAGACAAAAACCAAAAGTAAAACAATCATCACGAAGCCACTCACATAGACAGTATGGTTTTAGAAGGAAGGGAACTTGGCATTTCAGTACCAACTACCTGCCAGCCATGTTCTGTTCACTAGGGATACATGGTGAATAGTGTAGACACAGTCTCTCCTGCCACAGAGCTTATGGCCTAGTAATCTTACTGTATTAAATTCTCATAATAAGCCCTATGAGGTGATATTATTGACATTGTTTTATGAGAAAACTTAGGTCTATGAATGATCAGTAACTTCCTCAAAGACATACTAAGACATAAGATTCCAGCCCTGGTCTGTCTGACTTCAAAGACGTGTTGAGCATCTTCACCATCCAGCTATACTATTTGCTTTATAGAGATCCTGCAAATATTATTAAAAAAAATTTTAGGACTACTTCTCTCCCCATATTACTTTTAATATAATATTTGATATACATAAAGTAGATTGTTTATGTAGGTTTAGGAGGAATAATAATAAAACCAATGACATGACCCTACCACCCAACCTAGATTTTGAACATTATCAATACTTCGTATGCACCTTTTGGATCTCATCCCCCTGCCTTCCCACCAGAGGCAATAAATATCGCATATTTTATATTTGGTGTTTTCTTGCCCTAAAAAATCCTTTAATCATGTATATGTATCCCTAAAGACATGCTGCTTAGTTTTGCTTATTCCTGTGCTCTATGTAAAAGACTATTTCTGTAATACAGCCAGGTTATTGCTTATAGCTGTAGTATGTCTATTTTCACTGCTATATCCTATTCTGTTGTGTGAATTTGCTATAAATTATTTATCTCTTGTCCTTATGATGAATGTTGTAACTTTTTCCAGTTTGGGGCTATTGTAAACATTACTGTTATTAATATTCTTGCATATACCTTCCAGTAAATGCAAAAGTTTCGACAGGGTACACACCTAAGAGTGAGACTTAATGGATTTCTTTTCACTGCAGAGATTCTGATTGCATGGACATTGGACCACCTCATTTTGCCTTCCTGTCTTTTAAATCTCTATCATATTTTCTATCTCCCTATGTTTTTGGAATATATTCTGGATACGTTCTTTAGATCTTTCTTCCAGTTCATCAATTCTTTTTTTAGCTCTGTCTAATCTGCTATTTAAACCATCTACTGAGTTATGTCAATAATTTAATTTTTTATTTTAAAAATTCAATTTACCGTTTTCCCAGACATACCTGTTCATTTTCATAGTCTCTCATTATTTCCTTATTCATTGTGATTCCGTTTTTCAAATATTTGTGTGTTCATATCTTTGTGTATTTAATACACAATTGTTTTGTATTATATATCGGATAACTCCAGTACCTGAGGTTGTCTGAGATCAGATTCATCAGAATCAGATCCTGAGATGAAGGTTCCTGGGCAGCTGATTTACTGAGGAAGTGCTGCCAGGAGAAACCCATAAGGGAATAGGTGAGAGAGGATTAAAAGGAGGAAGAAAGCAACTAAGGGCATGATTTCAGGAGAAGCCTCATGCTCAACAAGACTCTATGGGCATTCTGGGACAGAGTGCACTGCAAAGTTTGTTATCCCTTGGAACAAGGGCTGAGCATTCACATTCCTGCATTAGTCATTGACTACGAGCCTTCCTGGGTGACTATAACCTCACAGGCATTTCCAGTTCTTGTCTGGGTCCAGGGTAGGACCCTGAGGAGGGCTGCAGCTGTGAGCCTTTGGAGCCCAGGTGGGCTCCAGACAAGGGACTGGCAAACTCAAAAGCTGGGGGCTGGTGAAGGGGATTTAGACGAACCTGGGTGGAGCACTAGTGGACTTCACTGTAGCACTTCACCACTAAATTGGGGGGGTTTAAATAAAAAAGCTTTTTTGACTCACTTTTTCATACGTTCGTTCATCAAAAATACTGGTTGAGCGCCTACTATGTGCTGGGCACATTTTATCACTCGGGTTTAAGCAATAGGCACAACAGACTAAGATCTCTGATCTTGAGGAAGTCACATTCTATGTGAGAGAGAGAAGCGTCGACACATACATAATATAAAACAAATTACTGAAATGTATGGTCTGTTAGAGCAGCAGTTGACGAAACGTGGTCAGCTGGCCCCATCTGGCCTGTGGCCTGTTTTGCATAGGCTTTTCAATTCCTAAGTTTTGGCTTTAAAAGCAAAACTAGTTTTTATTTCTAAAGAGCAGTTTTAAGTTCACAGCAAAATTAAGAGGAAAGTACAGAGATTTCCTACACAGCCCCTGCCCTGAAATATACACAGTCCCTATCCCCCACATCCCCCACCACAGTGATACATTTGTTGTAATAAATGAACCTACACTGACACATCCTTATCACCCAAAGTCCATGGATGACATTAAGATTCACTAGGTATAGGCTGGGCATGGTGGCTCACGCCTGTAATCCCAGCACTTTGGGAGGCTGAGGCAGGCGGATCATGAGGTCAGGAGTTTGAGACCAGCCTAACCAACGTGATGAAACCCCATCTCTACTAAAAATACAAAAATTCACTGGGCATAGTGGCATGCACCTGTAATCCCAGCTACTCAGGAGGCTGAGGCAGGAGAATCGCTTGAACCCTGGAGGTGGAGGTTGCAGTGAGCCGAGATCTGGCCACTGCACTACAGCCTGGGAGATAGAGTGAGACTCTCTCCCCACAAAAAAAAAAAAAAAAAAAAAAAAAAAAAAAAAAAAAAATTCACTAGGTGTAGGCTGGGCACGGTGGCTCACACCTGTAATCCCAGCACTTTGGGAGGCAGAGGCGGGCAGATTGCCTGAGCTCAGAAGGTGGAGACCACCCTGGGCGACATAGTGAAACTCTTATCTTTACTAAAATCAAAAAAATTAGCCAGGTATGGTGGCGGGTGCCTGTAATCCCAGCTACTCAGGAGGCTGAGGAATGAGAATCACTTGAGCCTGAGAGGCAGAGACTGCAGTGAGCCAAGACTGCGCCATTGCACTCCAGCTTGGGTGACAGAGTGAGACTCTGTCTCAAAAAAGAAAAAGAAAAAGATTCACTCTGTGTTTATGTTCTATGGATTTGGAGAACTGTATACTGGCATGTATCTACCCTTGTAGTATTACATGGAATAATTCCACTGCTCTAAAATTCCTGTCTTCTTCCTTTCCATCCCTTCCTTCCCCTAGCCCCTGGCAGCCACTGATCCTTTTACTGTCTCCATAGTTTTGCCTTTTCCAGAATGTTATATAATTGAAATCATACAGTATGTAGGCTTTACAGATTGGCTTCTTTTACTTAGTAAGACACATTTACATTTCCTCCACGTCTTTTCATGGCTTAAGCTTGATTGCTATTGCATTGCCTGGATGAATCACAATTCATTTATCCATTCATCCACTGAAGAACATCTTGGGTGCTTCCAGGTTCTGGCAATTATGAATAAAGTTGCTATACATTCAATATCCAGGTTTTTGTGTGGACATAAGTTTCCAGCTCCTCTGGGTGGATACCAAAGAGCACAATTGCTAGATGATATGATAAGAGGATGTTTAGCTTTGTAAGAAATTGCTAAACTGTCTTCCAAAGTTGTTGTCCTATTTTGCATTCC